GGAGCTTTGGTGTCCCCATACCATGCTGAAAAGGCTGCTGCTGGTCTCAAGCTTCAGGGGAGAGCATCACATAGGATGAGCTGGGGCTCATGGTGCCCAGCTCTGTGGGGAGTTCTTGAGAAGTGAGTAGTGGAGGTATGCAGGATACAAGCAATGCTGACATGGTTCTAGAGCTGTTTGCTTTTTACGCTGATGGAGTGGATGCCAATTCAGAATAGGCATTCATTTATTATTAATTCTGTGGTGCTTGACAAGCCCATCCAGTTCCACTATTGCAGTAGAAAACTGAACATGCAAGTTCTGGCATGTGAGATAGAAATCTTGTCAAATCATCTGCTTGCCTCAGTCCAGGTTTTGTTACTGATGGAGTCAGAAAAAGTCAACTAGATTTCAGAACATTTTGCTGTGCAGTGTGCAGCTATGGTGAGAAGCAGACAAGAGACTTCTGTGCCTGAGTCCACAGAGCCTTTGTCAGAATGCAGACACTGAATATCTTAGAAGAGGCAGCCTTAGCCTTCTGCTCAAGCCAGAACAGTCTTTTTATTGAGAGAAAATATTTTCCCAATGTAGAGACTAAGAAATGAAACACTGCCATCGGGGCGAGAGGGAAGAGGCTGACAACAGTTAACACTTTTTTTTTTTTTTTTAATGTATTCCAGGAGTTTAGGAGGCCAGAGCCCTGTGATGCAATGTTGCAGTAAGTACTGTTTCTGCCTGGAATGTGCAGTGTCAAGTCATGCTCTCAGTGCATGTTGGAGCCTGTGTGCTTCACTCACACACAGGCACAACCCCGCAAGTGTGCAGGTGAGCTGCTCTCCAGGCTCCGGGACTGCGCCTCCGCAGCCTGTCTGGGCTGGCTCTGTCACGCAATCCCTGTGGAATGGGGAGAGGCTGGTGGGGAGGGCGAGCGCCAGGACACAGCGAGGTATTTAGCAGGACCCAGCTGTTTGGCCCCATCAAGCAGAGGATGGCATGATGCCCATTTTGCAGATGGAGAGGCTGATGGATTCGGTGGCAACCCGTATGTCATGCACAGGGAGGAAGGGTTATTTGTACCATGTGCTTTCACATCTGGCTTAGATGTGGTCTGCAGCACCTGAAGTTAGCAGCTGGTATTCATCTGCAGACACTGGCAAGAATTAGGTGCATCCAGGAGGTAACTCACTTGGCTTACATGATATGAGTAACTCCGCTTCCTCACCAGAGAGGACAGTCAGCGAAGAGTGGATTGGAAAGTAGCGTGCAGCCCTGACTCCAGCACTGCCAGCAGAATTTCAGGATTTTGTCCCCATGCTTTAGCTGTGACTGTGCTCCTTCCTTCACGCCTTGTAACCCAGGCCAATGGCAAGCAGAACTGTTTGGCTCATGAGGACTCCTTGGTGGAGACGTAAGGAGTTAGTGGGTTTCAGTCCAGTTTCCTGATGGCCAGTACCGTCACTGTCAAAGTCGCCATCACAAATGTTCTTCCCTTTCTAGAACAGTGGGGATTCTTAGTTGGTATTTAAGCATTGCGGTAATAAATGTGATTAGTACTAATTGGCACTAGTTGGCAGCCTCCACGGAGGAGCTTGGAGAGAGCCCATGGGGACAAAAGCTATCTTCCAGCCCACATGCTCAGAGATGGCTGCAGGTTGTAGGGACAGAAGGGGCTACATGCTCCCCGGCTTGCTGGCCAGCAGCAAATTTTGCAGGAGCAGCGCCGGGCAATGCTCTGAGGCTGCTGCCCCTCTTCCAAAACAACCTGCAGTTTTTCTCCCCAGAGTCATGAAAAGGGTGACAGCAGGGAGCATGGCAGGAGCAGGTAGTCCCACAGCCATGCAGTGAGAGGACGTGGCCATCCAGGGCAGTGGCCGGGCCATCATGATCCCTGATCAGCAGGTGGTTTGCCCCGTCACTAGTGTTGCACGGCGTGCACTGCCACTGCAAGGAGGGCTCATCTCTGGGTCTGGCACAGCTCCTGGAGAGCAAGAGGGAACCTGGCTTCACCACAGCCAGGAAGCTGACTGCCCCCGACAGTCGATCTCGTTTCCGTTACCAGGATCTTTTTAGAAAGTTGTGCCTGAGTTTGCCGTGAAGTTTGCCCCAAGTTTCTGGCCTTCATGTGCATCCTGGCTGTGTCCTGCCTTGGCGGCAGGAGGAAATCAGTTGCATGGGATCTCCTGTGCATCAGGCAGGCAGGCAGGAGGGAGCTGCTCAGGTAGCTCTCTGGCTGGGGACAGCTGGGGAGATGATGGGCCATGGTGCAGAGGAGACCTTCCGTGGGGCAGGATGTGGCCAGGCTGGGGACCCTGGGTCTCCAAGCGTGGGGTGCACGGCAAGGAGGCTCTGCCCACAAATGCCAACTCCATCTTCAGGACTGTGAATTGTGGGGCTGAGGCTTGTTTTGCTGGTCGGCGCAAGGGAACAAAGAAGGGCTGGCTTTTATTCTGAGAGAAATGTGTTGTGTGAAAACTATAACATGGCTTGTTTTGTCATTGTCTTTAATGTTTGCCCGGTATGAACATCTTGCCTCTTCTCATTGCCTACAAATGTCTGAAGTTGATTGTTTTTTAGATACTGATGCCTTGTGTTAAAAATCTTAATTGTACCTTTGAATTATCTGCCTTAAAGGGGCTCTGTGCCTTCAGGACAACTCCTGGGCCACCTCTCTGTTAGAGCTGGGGGAGGTACTGATTCTTCCTCACATTTTATAAATACATTGTCTTCCTACAAGAGCTCAGTTCTGTCCGTGTGTTACTCATACCCACATCGCCATGCAGCAGGGATTAGAAACCAGGTGTTGCTCCTCTGGCTTCATATAACCAACTGAAGGTGTAGGCAATACCAGAGAGACAAGTTACTCTCTGCCCAAGCCAGTGAGAGCTCTGCAGCAAGAGGTGGGTGGGAGATGCAGCAAGCAAGGTTAGCCAGGAGCGAGATGTGTTTCAGTCCCCTCTAGGCCTGTAGAAAATGGGATGGCAACAAAACAGTTTTTCTCCTGTCTTCCTGGGTTTATCATGTGAAACAAGGTAGAAACATTGGACAAATACATGTCCCAGCAAAGCGTTAAGTGCGATGTGATCATAGAGAGAGAATGCAGAGAACTAAGTGGTCCCTCTTGCAAGCAGGGGATGATTCCTGGAGCCAAGATCAGGTGAGAACTTAGACCTGAGCTTGGTACTTGGCACAGCCTACACAAATGGGCTGTCAGCTCTTTCATGGCAACTGCTTATTTAGATTCAAATTTGGCCCCTTTTTGCTTCAACTGTCCCTCCTTTGAGTATAAAAAGCTTGGCAGGAATGGGAGTCAGACATGGACAGTGAAAAAGGCAACCAAGGTTGCTAATGAGTCTGATTCCATTATAATGAGAAATTATTATTAAAGGTGATGGGGTGAAAAGCATTCCAGCACGCTGCTGGTCTTCTGCTCACCTGGGCTGGGTGACGGGAAGCCCTCTCTGCTTGGGCAGGCCTCGCGCACCTCCGTACCTGACCTGGCAGCTCTCTGAGACGATGATGTTGAAGTTAAGATCTGGTAATGAAATTCCCCTCACTGCTTCATTCCCAGCTGAACCCTTTCTTTTTTTTTTTCCTGTCTTTACATTCAGTCATCAATGCTAATTGCTTTGCCTCCTGCTCTGTGAAGCAATGAGTCACAGGATTTGGGATCTGCACATAGGATGCATAATTTTCTACCTTTTCATGAACCCAGCCGGCCAGTAGTGGCTGAAAACCCTTAGCTGGTGGTTTTGCATTGGCTAGAACTAGTTTTGCTGCCTCTACAGTGAAGCCTTTTTCTAGAGGAGAGCAGGGTAACAGAGGCTTCCCAGAAATATTCACCCATTTGCTGTTGGTCTCAGCAGAGACCAAGGACCAAGATAAGCAGCAAACTCCGTGTCACTCCAGACCTGCCATCCCCCAGACAACGTGGAGGATGAGTCTTTACCTGCTTCACCAGACAGATCCCAGACTGTGCTCAGCTTTGCTGATTTCAATTCTGGTAAATACATAACTAGCATTTTCCACCCTACTCTTTCTACGCAACTTCCCTTCAGCTGCAAAAAAGCCACTGTCATTTGCAGGTACTAGCTGATGCTGACTCTGTAGCCTTACCCACCAGCCTTTGTGGGCAAGATCATTCACACCGTCTCCAGAAAAAAGCACCACCTGTGACTTAAACAGAAATTTAGTTCCATAAAGTCAAATATAGCGTACAAATGAAATCTGCCTGTATCTGTTTTTTTTCAGGTGTCAGACACTCCCAGTAGCTCCTGAAGACCAATATGTGATATTTTTGTGACATTTCTTTCTTAGTGGTGGCAAGAGTATGCAAAACAAAAAATCCATATTGAACTCTGATTCTGCCATACAATGAAAAAATCATTTAATAATCAGAAAAGCATGTCATTATTTAAATAGGCTTACACCAGGCTATTAAAATACCATCTTTTTTAGCATGTCTACAGTTACAAAATTTAGGATCAAAAATTTTTAATCTTTCAAAAAAAAAACCTCTGAAAAATTATTAGTTCAAAGCCTTTTTTTGAAGGAAACAAATTGCTCTAGTACAAGAGAATTTGCAGCATTGTCAATATAAAAATGATACATTTAAAAACAATTATGTTAGTGATAAGACCTTAAATTATAATGGTGATTTTTTTAATAAAGTAGTATACTGTGCACCTGTCATTTCTCATTGTGGCAATAAGCCTAGAGTGTCTCCTTATGTATAATGTTTCTTCATTCTCTGCTAAATATTGTCAGGCTATTCTGACATCATTCCTCATAGGTTCCTGGTGATAACATCAGACCATATCTATTTTCTGTCAGTGTTAATTTTCCAGCGCTGAAAATATCTGATTGTTTTCTTAACTGCGTCGCATTTAATTTTAAACAACTAGGAAAACGTTTGAACTGGTTTTAGCTACACAGTTTTCTATCCTCCCATGAGAAGTTTTTTTTTCTTTTTTTTAGTTCGAGAAATCCATACCAACATTTGGGAGGTAAACTAGTAGCATCTTATGCTTGAGACAAAAAAGCTGGACTTTTCTTGTTTATTTAAGCCTACAAAGTAAATCATTCAATCATCTTCTCTACAAAATGAGCCAATATTGAATACGTGAAGCAGGCAACTAAAATAAGAGATGAGATTTACAGAACTGTGCTTTGAAATTGTCTACCTCCTGCTCTTCCTGCAGCTTTCTCTAGCAAAGTTTGCTCTAGCTTTGAAAGGCAATGTTTTCACCCCTTCAGATCTGCAAAAGCATTATGGTAAGGGGCCAGCATACCATGACACACACACAGTTTTGAAATTTTAACCCAGGTCTCTGGATTCATCGATGGGCTTCTGCTGAGGTCAGTGAAAACATAGAGAAGGAGAGCTTTCCCCACCGTCCGCGCTGCTTGGGTCCTGCAGGGAAGACAAGAAACACCAGTAAGGTCGCAGCAGGCTACTCTGCGCTGCACAGGCAGAAAGGAGCAGTCATGGCATGCTGGGTCACTCAGCACCACAGCCACCACCGGCACACACCCCCTGCGGGTGTGGGGTGCCGCTCTTCAGTGCTCTCGCCCTTCTGGATCCCAAGCCAGCAGTGTTTTTATAGAGGCTTTTGGCCTTTGCATCCTCCCTCATCATCTCATGCATCTATCAAGCTTTCTTGCTGGTTGTTGCCCCAGTATATTGCATTTAAACTATGCTTACATGTTGCAGGTCATGTAAGCAAGAGATGTGAACTTTGCTTCTTGACCTAAAGCACTTTTGACCTAAGAACATGTCATTCCCTCATTGACCTGACATGGGAACACAAGCATTTGGTTGGACTCTTATTCACAAGACTCTCTCTTGAAAATGAGAGTTAGATTCTTAAAACAGCCCCTGCCAAACCACTCTGGCTGTTGAGAAGAGCTGTTTAACCCCTGCCTCACCAGCACCTTCTTTTTCTTTTGCTCAGATAATGCTGCCATCTTTGGATACCTCCCAGAACGCACCTAGTTTTCTTTCCCAAATTTAGCTCCCATCCACAACTGCTATCTGTATCTAGCATGAGGTCTGCAGCCTTCTGAAAACCACTTGCTGCTGATAAATCCCAGCAGTTGGGATGTTTGGTGTTCTTGCTTTAAAGACCAAGCAAAGAGAAATCCTCCTTCTCCGAGGGAATTTGTTCAATGGCCCCAGATGCTCATGGGACAACAACCTGCCTCTGGAAAGGCTTTGTTAATTTGTGCAGCTTTGCCTTCCTCTTCTCCACCTTGCAACAGTGTTTTCTGAGGCTGAGAGCCCTTCCAGGGGCTGGCAGTGACGGGAACTCACCCCTTTCTTACCTGACTCCATTGCCCCATGACTTAATAAGGTCGAAAATTCCTGGTAGGGTAGAGGCCAGTCTTCTGCACCCCAAAGGCTGTGATGAAGATGTTGAGGATGACTGTGATAAAGATGAGAGCTGTGGCAGTGTTGTTGAGTACATTCAGGCGGGGTTGCTTTGCAACATCATTCAGATTCAAACGAGCTGTGCGATACAATGCAAAAAGAAAGGGAGATTGGTAGCTTGACTCCAAGTCCCCCAGCCCCTGCAAGCCTTCCATGCCTGGTGAATGTTCACAGTGCATCTGGGCACTGTGGCCACAGAGCTGGGGGAATAGTCCCAGGAACTTTACAGGGGCCACTGCTTGCCCTAGGACGACATAGGAGGATGGAGCAGAGGAAAAACACCTTTTTTCTTTATGTCATGTCTTTGTTTTGTCATGGAGGTGCCATGGCCCTCCAATGGGCCAACCCTAAATAGCCAAATTACTGCTGCATGCTAGCCAGGCATGTGCCATGTGACTCCCCCCACTGCATGGCTATGGGACATGGCAAGGGAAGGCTGGGTGACATGCGGAACGAGGTCAGCAATGTTGTGCTCAGGCTGGGAGGCCAGTTCCTCCTTGACACCCAGATCTCACGTATGTGCTGACACAGATACCAACGCCCTTCTCACACCCAGACCAAGAGGTATCTGGCTACCTGAATGGGGCCAGCCCTAGCTGATGGGCATTGATCAGTTCAGACACGGGAACACCCCGGTTACTGGGGCTGTCTGGCCAATAAGCCATGCGAACAGCAGCCTTGTGGCTCCCTGCCCTCAGTTGTGGTCCCCTGTCCCCCTTCTCCTCACAGCTGGCTCCAGCCACTGCGCCTGCCACTGGGAAAGGCTGTGCCATGTGGGACAGGGGAAGGAAGATGTCAGAGAATTTCCTGTAGCCTCTGATCCAGTGTCCCATATAAAACACCACATAGGATATACAGGAAAAGGCAGCGTTCTGCAGACTTTTCATACTGGGCATGTGTTGGAGGCTGAAATATAGCAACTCCTATATAAGATGGAGCGCTGGGCAAGCCTGTCAAATGCTAGTGTTAAGGTACTGTCTACGCTAGAACTGTGGGATTGGTTAAATGTGAGGTTAGTATAGGGAATACCTCTGCCTAAATTGTTCTGTTAGGCCCCAGCTTGAGTTAGGCAAAAGATACAGCTAAAATGTAGTATCTGCAAGAGCTGCACGAAGGGGCACATTACAGGATGGGCAGCAAGAGGCCCTAAACCCAGCGCTCTCCCTACAACAGGGATTCAGCACTGGGGAAGTGAAGGAGGAATAATGCTCAGAGCTGTTGTGCAAGAGAGAAAACCAACCCACTCACCACTTTGAAAAGCAATAACACAGACCTCTCCACCATCTGCATCAAGCTGTCTCCAACCCTCCTGCAGCCCTGGCTGGAGCCAGGGGTAATGATTTGGGGGCAGAGGCTTCTCCCTTCCACCCCCATGCCAGCCAGACCATGGGGTGCCCTGCCCCTGCAGCACCCCGTGAGGGTGCATGCGCCTTGGTGGCCACCTTACCGGTAATGATGAGGAGAATCCCAATCAGCACCTGGAAGAAGAGGGAGATGCTGATGAGCACGATGAGGGTGGCATAGTACTGGAAGGAAGCCCCCTGCTCCAGCACCGCTTTGAGCTGGGTGACGTTCGCCATGAACAGTGCCACGTCCAGCATGCTCTCCGCCACGCTCTTCTTCGTTGCATAGTGGTTGATGTTCATTGGTCCGTTAATCCGGAGCTGAGGATTCACGCCCTGGGGAAACAGGAGAAACCGCGTGAACTGGTACAATTGCTAAGCCGACAGCCCCGTCTGTATCGAACGGGCTGCTATCTCCCCACAGGGTTTATCTAGAAAGCCTGGGAAAGAGTCAAAGTTGTGTGTTTCAAATGTGTTGAGAGCACACAATTTCCCATCACAGTCACCTCGTGATATTAATAAGCACAAGATACTTGCGGTGATCAAAAGCTCAGCGAGGTTAGAAAAATACTGGGTAATTTTGTGGAAAACAAGCTTGTCCAGAGTTACAATAATGTAGATTACCCACAGCGAGGGATTTTGCAAGGAATATTAAATTCTCTTTCTTCAGGGCACAGACAAGCCTCAAACTTACAGGGGATTAGAGAAAGATCTTCTCTTTGGGTCGGGTGTTCAAAAGACTGTCAGCAGCTGGGCTTTCTATCTCCTCTGAACACTTTGCTGGCTACTGTGCTAGACAAGATGCTAGAGCAGACAGGACAATCCATGTATTCGTTTCTGAAACCAGGGGCACTATTTCTTCAAAACATCAGGCACTGAAACACACCAAGACAACGGGTGAGATCTATCACACCTAACTTTAACTAATCATTCAGGCACATTTTTTTGTCAGTGGAAAGAAACAGGTATCTACAAGGGGTAAATCACCTGCTTGCCCTTAATCTAATTACAAGCTGTGGGTCATTTGGCTGCTTTAGCCATCCACCTTTTCTCTATCTTTCTTGTTAAGTGAGTTCCCCTGTTAGCTGTCTTGACCCAAATGATGAAAAAAAAAAAGATAGAAAAGGGGACAATAATTTTCAATTCACCCAGAGTGTCATCAGCTGGTAATAAACCACCAGCAGAGGCAACAAATACAAAAGATTTGGATATATCTGCAGCAAGCTATGATCTTTCTTAAAAAGAAAGAAAAACAACACTTCCACGTAGCAGACAGGTTTCAGTTCTGCGTAATCAGCCTCCTGTAAGCTGTAGTGAAGGCCATCAGGTGCGTACTGGAAGTAGGACTGTGCCTACATCAAATGGTGAGTCCTATTTTGGTCCTTTTGTACTAGATAAAGTAAAAAATGTAGTTTTTCCTCCGTGCTCTTGGCATGGCACTAGAGAAGGGTTATGGCTAGTGCTTCATGCTGCTGTCTCTGGTTTCTTTGTGCATCCATAGGCAAGAGTGGCTTTCTCTATGCCAGGGTGGGAGTGTGAGCAAAGCCAGTGATCCTTGGAGAGTGCTGCAAGTGGTTGTGTGTCTGATACTGAAATTGGGGCTGAATTTTGGAAGGGGGTTGAGGCCTGTGCCAGTGATCCCCTCATGTGAGAAAGATGGATGGCAAAAAGCAGGCAGGAAGGACTGTGTCCAGTCTGAACTATTGGTGAACTGTGATCCTTAAGAAGGGGCTGGCTTGGGGTAGGAAAGTGCTTTTGGGGATTTTTATTTTTTTTAATAGCTTAAAGCATGTAATTCTTGTGGTTTTTAACAGTAAAGTTGCTGTGGTTAAGCAGCTCCTTTGCAAAGCCTGTATTTCTTGCTGTGGAAGGTAGAAGTTAAAAGATACTGGAAGGAGATAAAAGTAGAAGTCTAGAGAGCCCGTAAGGACTCTAAGGCAGTGTGTAGGGGTTCAAGACTTCTTAAACATTACTGTGTGGGGCAGAATAGGGGTGTCTCAGGGAAAGGAGGCCCACAAAAGACCTGATCCTGGGAAGACGTCCTAAAAACCTGTATTTGGGTACTACTCCCTCTCAGCTGGCTTAGAAGCATGTGATCCTGTTGCAACAGTGGTACCCATACCAAGTGGTGCAAGGTTTGAAATTTGACTCCTTTCATGTGTTTCCTTCCTTATTTCTCCTGAAGAGTCAGCCCTCCTCCCTGCAGCGTCACAAGGCTGGGCATTGATACTTTATCTCTGCGTAATGATGAGTTAAGGGTGCGAGAACAAGGACGCTGTACAAACAAGACAGAGCTTTTGTTAAATGAGTGACTGGTACGAGGAGGCTGAGACATCTGTCCCTAGTTGCTTATGTGGAGACAAATAAAGCAAGTCAGGAGTTCTTGTTGAATGAAAACACGTCCTCCTTTTGAGCTGCCCCCATGCTCCTTTACCTGGAGTGTGAAATGGGGCAGAGTTGCAATGTACTGTATCCTAGATGATCAAGCAATGAAATTAGACAGCTTTCACATAGGCTCTTCTCGTGTGGATGAGTGTGATGGCATGGTCCCCTGTTTGGGACATGATACCACAGGCAGGGATGGCCACGCTCTCTGATGTGGAGTCACTGGATTTGGGAAACGCTTGCACTGAGTAATGAAAAACTGTGATTTCTGTTTCAAAGTTCTGTCAGCCCAGGTTTAGTAGATCCACAAAGGTGGCCAAAAGGTTGCTGGATAATGAAAGCTGGACACCAAGCTTTCATTTAGACAGCTAAACAATCAACCAGTTTGCAGGAGTCCTTATGATGCCAGCTAAAATTAGAGAAATCCAGTTCCTCTGGATTTGGCCCTTACAGAGTATTCTGTCTAGTCCAGCAGCTACGAATGCAAGCCTGAAGCCTCAAATAACAAGAGGCTTAAACAAACCAGGAGTCTTCAGAGACCTGGGATTTTGATTAATGCAGGAGGATGGCTTTGCTTGGGATGCTTGGTGCTATAGCTGTCACCAGCTAACCACTGCATCTGTGGAGTATGAGCGCATGGCTGTGAGTCCTTTTTTTGAGCTGCCACAATGCATGTACAGCTTTTCAAAGTGGGACCGTTTCTGCTTTTGCTTTGCTTTTGCTTTGTCTTAAAGTTCAGTCCTGTAAACTGCTGCGGCTCAGGAGCTGATTCACAAGCAACTCGGGTTTCCCTGCGGCAGGACTGCCAGACAAGCTGGGGTGGGGGGGGTTGCGTTATGTGGGATTACTAGGGAGTTTAAATGATTCCCTTTTGGCAAACAGAGCCCGAAGTCAAGTCACAGGACATACCTGAAGGCTCATCAAAGTGACTTATGTCATCACGCTAGAGCTGGTGTCTTTCTAGTCACTTTGAAAGTGTTCCCCTTCTGAGAGTGGGGACTGCCGCCTTTTCTTCTCCTTATTGTGTCAAAGAGAGGAAACCTGGATCTGGTAGTCAGACATCAAGTTCATCTTGTAAGCATTGCTGCAGAGCCAGCATGTCTGCTAGAAAACAGCACCTACTAGTACACAGCACTTTCCCAAGGTGGGGATGTATCATTATTGCCCGCTTCTAAAGGGTAGAGAAATTAGGACTTGAAAAAGTACAGCCCAGTCACATAACAGCACTGGCTGAACTGGTGCTGGAGCTCAGCTCCTGTGTCCCATTTCCGGATGTTTTGGCTTTCCATATGAGACAGCCTCTTTCCCTGCAAAGAGTCTGCTGGCTTCAGCCTGACCTCAGGCAAATCCCCTCTCTGCTTCCTTCTGTGTAAACGTGGCACAGGGATACAGATCACTACAGGGGCTGAGTGAGGTACCCATCTATCTTTTATAAGTCAGAGGCTTTATTCTTACTCAAAGCACACACACAAATATTTAACTTTCACTTCTATTGTTATTTTTAATTTTTGTAGGAAGAAAGAAGGATGAATATCACCACAAGCATGGGATTTTTTTTAATTTTTTTTTTTTAAACTTGATCTCTGATTTTGCTGTAGGGAGCTGGCAGGTCCCAGGGCCTGTGAAACCTGGCTCTGGCAGCAGAGGGCATGCTGAGCTCCACAGCTCACTGAAGCTACCTGAAAAATTTCCACTGAAATTAGTTTTCAAGAGAAATTCTTTGCTTTTTATTACCCATTTATTTTTACAAGAAATAGCTACTTTCTTCTGAAAACTTTTGGAGGAGGTTAATCTAAATATTTGTTTCCAAGGCTTGCAGATTTGGGGCTGAGGGGAAGCACAGAGCTTTCTTAAAGCTACTTGGACACTTTCTACCTACAGTTTCTCTTGTATTTTTCAGAGCAGAAAAAAAAAATACAGAGCAGATCTAATTGCAAATCTGTGTGCTTTGTGGGTTTTGTGACTCTATCCCCAGGGGAGAACAGCCTGAAAGAGACAGTGGGACAGCATGAGGCTCACAAGTATGAGAATGATAATCCTCTTCATGGGAGCGCTCTGGCAGAGAGGGATGTCTGAGGAGAAACTGTATTATTGGCCATTATTTCCAAAGGAAATGCTGGAGGATGCCAAAGAAAACAGAGATATGAATGCAGGCCGTGCACTCGGAGGGGTAGGTGCAGAGACTCTTTCCACAGGGATCCCGGCCGATAAACAGCCAGCCGCACACAGGCGAGCACACATACAGCATCAGGCACCACGGAAAATCCAAGGTATTTCCACAATATTTGCTAGTTGGCAGCTTTAGAAGTACTTTGTAAACATCAGTTGATGAAGGTTAAAGCACACAGAGACTCATCATCTTGCAAGGTACAAGAGGAACACGGTTCCATTTCTATGGGCAGAAAGTGGAGAGATTAAAGGTCCTGCTCTCAATCAATACCTCTACTTTTAAGTGCACAGTTATTAGCTACTCTACTTTTCCAGGGGAGCTCACTCCCTGCAGCTCCTGACCCCTTCACTTGGCACGAAGGGAGCCAATTTTAGTATTTTTTGGCCTACGCGCCATGCCTAGGCACAGGCAGCATCAGCGGCAGCACCAGGCAGAGCAGCGATGACCAGACGTCTGCCCACCCAGTGGGTCAGACTTCCCTCGCGGAACTGCACGTGTCAGCCTGCAGGTGAGGAGGCAGGTTTGTGCACAGCCACATGTGTGCAAGAGAAGGGACACACAGGGAACATTGGTCAATACCAACTGTGTTGCGAACTCTGCAAGGCAAAGGTTGTTTTTCTCCAATTTGACACAACGGCAAGCATTTTGGCTGTGTTCCATGAACAAAAGTAATAGTAAACCTCATCATGGATGCTGCAGGCAAAAGGAAAACTGAGTGTTCAGGGCCAGTCCCCCCTTTAGCCTCTGTGGAGGCTGTCAGCTAGTCCAGTTGTGCTTAGGG